CAGGGCCGGGGTCAAACCTGCAACCCAGGTACATGCCCTTGACCAGGAATCGAACCTGAGACCCTTTTGTGCTTGGGCCGACACTCTAACCACTAAGCCACATTGGCGAGGGCTCCTGCTCCATTCTTTTCTGAGTTCTGTAATTTTGTTTTTTCAGTCTTCATATTTTCCTGTCACTTCATTTTAGGGGTTTTCCGATTCTGATGTCTACTGTTCTCTCATTGTTTTCATTTAGCTTAGCACATTCTGAACGTCTAAGCTGTAGTTTGCACCTGCTGTGTGGGTTTATCTTTCTGGCCTGCCTCCCTGGGACATTATTCTCTTCCTCCCCAGCTTTTTGTCTTAGAACGACTTCATATGGAGTGTGACTTCAACATTTTTAATTGTTCATGTTTAAGCAAGATGATTTTTCCTGTACTTTGAGGATGGTAGCTGAGTCAAAATAGCTTTTATTGCTTCATGGTTGAAAAGATGTATACGGCCCCTGCTTTCTATATTTGTCTTCTCGAATCACCTCCACAACTTAAAATGAAAAGCAAACTCTTCTCTTCGTTGCCGCTGTTGTTTCTGTCACGCTCAGTTTGACTTCTGTTCCCAGCAGCTTCTGGCCCTGTGAATCTCAGCCCTGGAGGGGAGCGCTGGCCCACTCATTCGGGGAGTTCTCAGGACCAGAACTCTTCAGCACCATCCCACCTTCCTGGGCCCCTTCACTCGCCCAAGCTGGAGAGTGCAAAGCTCAGTCTGTAACAGTGAGCAAAGGTGCCCAGGCCGAGCGGCCTTCCAGGTTCCCAGTGAGAACCTGTAGGGGATGGGAGTTCTCCGGGCCCCTTGCCTTTCTCCCTCCCCTCCCTCCACAGCATTGCTGAAAACCCCGCAACTTTTCTTGTTTGTTTTTTCATGTTTGTCTATCAGTAACTCATTCACTCTATGATTGGCTCTGATCTTTCTTTCCCTCCCTCCCTCCCTCCCTCCCTCCCTCCCTCCCTCCCTCCCTCCCTCCCTTCCTTCCTTCCTCTCTCTCTCTCTCTCTTTCTTTCATCCTTACCTGAGGACACTTTTGCATTTATCTTCAGATACAGTGGGAAAGAGAGAGGAAGGAAGAGAGAGAGAGAAACATCAGCGTGAGAGAGACACACCAAGTGGCCACCACCCACACGGCCCCAACCAAGGCCGGGGACAAACCGCAACCGAGGTACATGCCCCCAGCGGGAACCGAACCCCGGACTCTTCGGTCCTCGGGCTGATGCTCTAACCGCTGAGCCAAACCAGCCAGGGCAACCCCACAACTTTTGATATATGGCATTTTCATTACACCGGGTTAAAAATATTTTCTAATTTCTACTGTAAATTTTTCTTTGTTTCATAGGTTACTTATTAATGTTTTTCTTTTTTTTATCCTTACCGGAGGACATTTTTGCATTTATCTTGAGATAGAGCAGGAGCAACAGAGAGAGGAAGAGAGAGAGAGACACATCAACTGGCTGCCACCCCCACGACCTCAGCTGGGGCCGGGGACAAAGTGCAGCTGAGGTACGTGCCCTTAACGGGAACCGAACCCAAGACTCTCTGGTCTGCAGGCCGACGATCTAACCACTGAGCAAAACCAGCCAGGGCACCCTAGGACGTTTTTGCATTTATCTTCAGATAGAGCAGGAGAGAGAGAAGGAGGGAGAGAGAAACATAGACGTGAGAGAGACACACTGAGTGGTTGCCACCCACATAGTGTTTTTCTTGATTTCCAAATATATGGGAATTTTCTAATTGATGTATCTGATTTATAAATATTTAGTGTGTCTGGAGAAGGGTGCGTATTCGCTGCACAGCTGCCGGGTAGCGTTCTGTGGACGTCAGTTCAGCCGCTCACCGAGTCATTCCAGTCCGCGTCCCACTGATTTGTTCTGCTGATCACATCACTTACCGCGAGAAGGGTGTAAAGTCTCCCGCTGTGTGTATTTGTCTATTCTTTTCATTCTGCCAATTTTTGCTTTATATATTTTATTTATTAACTTATTATTATTGTTGTTATTATTATTATTTTTTTTAATCCTCACCCAAGGATATTTTTCCACTCATTTTCAGACAGAGTGGGAGGGAGAGAGAGATAGAGATAGAGATAGAGATAGAGATAGAGATAGAGATAGAGATAGAGATAGAGATAGAGATAGAGATAGAAATAGATAGAGAGGTAGAAAGATAAAGAGAGAGACATCAGTGTGAGAGGGACACATTGGCTGGTTGCCTCCCGCATGACCCAACCAGGGCTGGGGAAGAACTGCAACCGAGGTTCGTGCCCTTGACTGGAATCAAACCCGCAACTCTTTGGTCCGCGGGCCATGCTCTAACTGCTGAACCAAACTGGCCAGGGCTTCACTTTATGTATTTTAAAACTGTTAAGTGGACACACCTTGAGGTTTTTACATCTTTTTGCTGAATTGAGCTTTTATAATAATAATGTATCCTTCATTATCTCTAATTATACTTTATTTCTTAAAGTCTACTTTGTCTAAAATTAGTAGTCATATAAGCTTTCTTGATTTGCATGCTATATATTGCGTGCGAAAGGCAGCCAGTCGATGTGTCTCTCTCACATCGACGTTTCTCTCTGTCTTTCTCTCCCTCCCACTCTGTCTAAAAATAAATGGAAAAATATCCTCAGGTGAGGATTTTTAAAAAATGAAAAGAACAATAATTTGAAGCTCAAGATACCAATATTCTGGAATCATCTTGGTCTGATTTGAGTGACTAAGATGATATCCTTACAAGGGCTGATCTATTTCTTGTTTACTGTTATTCCTAGAGACAGGGCCCGTCTCCAAGTGTGTTTTGCCAGCAAGCCCAGCCCCAGACACACAGGGGTGTCGAAGCGCTTGGCCTCTCCGACTCCCCTTCCAGGACTGGCCACCCTCTCTGGGAAAACCTCTCCAAGTGCCAGGCTCACCTCGCCCTCTAGACCTGTATTTCTCCCCCTTTCTGATGCCTTTATAAGCAGGTGTTTTCTATTTGTCTGGCTTTTTAGTTGTCTAAGGAAAGTTCATCTGAATCACTTAGTCTTCCATTCCTGGGATGTCTGATTTACATTTAAACAGATTATTTTGTTAAAACATAAGAGAGCAAAGCAGATGCAGGTACCAGAGGGGAGACGATTGCAATAACCCAGGTGAGAGATGCTGGCAGCTTGGACCAGGTGGTGGTGACGGAGGCGAGGAGAAAGGATTGGAATCTGGCTATATTTTGAAGGTATAACTAACTGGCAGGATTTTGCTAATGGATTGAATATGGGGATGAAGAAAGTGACCAATCAAGGATGACTCCAAGGTGTACGGCCTGGGCAAAGGAGTAAATGGTTGTGTCCTTTTCAAAGCAGGGAAGCCTAGGAGAGCAGCCGTGTTGAGGCAGAGGTGGAGGAGGTACCAGGTTCAGTTCAGGTCATGTTCCGCGTGAAATGCCTCTTAGACACCCAGGGAGTTATCTTGTGGATGGCTGAGGATAAAGTGCCTGGAATTTAGGGGAGAGGACTGGGCTAGAGATAACATTTGGGGATCATCAGCATAGACTCTATGCCATAGAAATTGCGTTTTTTTTGTTTTTTTTTTTTTTTAGAGACGAAGGGAAGCGGGAGAGAGAGAGAGAAAAAAACATTAATGAGAGAGAACATGTGATTGGATGCCTCCTGCACGCCCCCTACTGGAGATGGAGCCGGCAACCCCAGCGTGTGTCCTGACCAGGACTCCAACTGACGACCTTTTGGTGCAAGGGATGACACTTAACCAACTGAGCCTCACCGGCCAGGGGCTAGAGGTTGTATTTTAGCTCCGAGTCTGGATAAGCTCATGGCCTCTGACATCATGAGGTCAGGTGGTGGGAGGAAGACCAGAGCTTAGTGTGTGGGGCACACCCCCTGGAAGCCTCTTACAGAAAACACTGCAGGGGGAGGGAGCAATGGGTCAGGAGAAATGAGGACTTTGTCTGCGATGGAATTTTTTTTAAAAATTTCCCCCAGTTCGTCTTTTGACTTTATGGTGTTTTGTTCTTATTAAAAAATTATATTTCTCTATGCCTGAGTGTAACAGTTTTAAATAACTCATGATTCTGGCTTTGTGTACTCTTTTCCATTCCAAGATTACATGTGTCCTTGGGGCACATGTGTGTGCCCATGTGTTGGACCAGAGCAAGGACATGTGGCTCAGGAAAGGGTGTGAGTCCAGGACGGGGAGGCCGAGCCAAGGTGCCCGAGCTGAGGTGCTGGCATCAGAGGTCCCACGGGTTGGGGAAAGGGGACCAGGTCCACTCTCTCTTGGAGCCTTGGTTTCCCAAACTATAACTGGGATCTAAATGCTGGCTTCCCAGGGACGCAGGGATGTTTCTCGTGAGCTGTGCAAGGCTATGCCCCAGGGAGAGCGTCATTTCCTGGACACAGGCCACACCTCAAAGCCGAAGGGCCCAGTGCTTGTTGCTGTTGGATAGATGGGAAGACTGAGGCAAGGGAGCCTTCCCATAGACATCGGGGCCCTGGGAGGGGTTGTGCGTCCCACCAGCCCAAGCCCCAAACCCCAAGCCCTGATGGCAGGGAAGGATCCTGGGGTCACTTGAAAAAGTCCAGTCTTTAAAAGGGTTGGAACTTGTGTGTCCCCAGTGAGATGGGAATAGTGTCTGCAGGCTGGGCTGCTGGGAATGTTGGGAGGGACCAAGGGGCTGGCCCAGGCCGGTGATGCTGGGAGGACCTAGGGAATAATGGCGATAGAAGATCTTTGCAGACTGAGAAGCATCTTATATATGGCAAAGGTCAGTGTACGTGGCATCACAATTTGCAATCTGTGGAGTCCTCTGGACCTGTGAGTGGCTGGACTTGACAGAGCAGCCCGGTCTGGTCTCTGATGGTTTGGTGGCAACAGAAGGGCCATCTGCCTGTCACCATTCCTCAGTGATTGACAGCGGAGCAAGCCCAGTGGGGAGGTTGGGGCGAGGGAGCCAGGCCCCTCACTCTGCACCCTGTCTTCCAGAGCCATCCTTCAGCAGCAGGGCTCACCCGTGGATGCCACCATCGCGGCTCTGGTCTGCACGGGTGCTGTCAACCCTCAGAGCATGGGCCTGGGCGGAGGGGTCATCTTCACCATCTACAATGCGACCACAGGTGCGTCCATACAGGACCCCTTTGGGGAGGATGGGCCTGTCCGGAAGCACTGACATCAAGGTGCTCGGCCTGAGCAGCTGAGCCTGTTCTGTCCAAGATAGGACCCCCCTACCCCCACCCTTCAGGTCTTATCTTGAGAAGAGGCCAATTCATGCTACAGAGAGGGAAACTGAGGCCCAGAGCAGGGCCAGGGATGTCAGAGGAGGACCATGGGGTGGGCCGGCCAAGGAGTGGCCTCATCACAGGAACACCCTGTCCTGACTGCAGGGAAGGTGGAGGTCATCAATGCCAGGGAGACGGTGCCTGCCAGCTATGTCCAGGGGCTGCTGAAGCAGTGTGAGCGGGTCCGACCACTGAACACGGGTGAGGCCTCGGGAGGGGCCACTGGGCTGACAGAACAACCCCTTATGGACAGGCGGAGACACCCTGGCACTGGGGGACAGCAGCTGGGGAGCCCCCTCAAAGCTCCTGACCTGCTGGGGTTGGGGGAGTATTCCGAGGTTGGGGGGGAGAGCTCTCTAAGTAGGAAAGGGTGATCCAAACGGAGGGACCAGCCCCGGCAAAGGCTAGAGGGCTCAGTGGAGATGGGTCGTGGGGATGAGGGTCCTGGGCCGGCTCGTGCTGGGCCCCATGGGCTGGCTGTGAACTTTGTACGGTTAGCAGCGGGCAGCCGGGGTCGAGTGCAGAAGGACATAGTCAGGTGTGGGCTCCGGAAGCTCCCTCTGGCTGCATGTCTGGGGAACGAGGCTGCTGGGGCCAACTGAGGGGGTCGTGGAGAACCCTGGGGCAGGCCGGGAAGCCACGGGCTGAGGGCAGCGTGGGGGCAGGAGCATGACGCTGCCACGCCCTGCAGGGGCCCAGTGGATAGGGGTGCCTGGGGAGCTCCGTGGCTATGCCGAGGCCCACCGCCGCCACGGCCGCCTGCCCTGGGCACAGCTGTTCCAGCCCACTGTGGAGCTGCTCCAAGGGGACTACCGCATGCCCCCCGTCCTCAGTCAGTTTCTGAAGCACGACCTCCTTCGCTCTTCCGTGCGAGACTCCTCCCTGAGGTGAGCCCTCCTGGGGCGGGGGGTGCAGGGCCCCTTCTCAGCTCCTGGGTTCAGGCCCCTCCAAGCTCCACCTGGGCGGCTGGAAGCCTGGCCCCGTGCTGGTGCTGGGGGCTCCCAAGGCAGGACTTTGCTGTCTCAGTTCAGACCTCTGGGCTCCGTGTGGCAACACCTCACGGGAGGGGCTCAGGCCAGAGGAATTTGTGGCCAATTGACAGGACTCTAAGGGCATGGTTTTGGGCTCTGTCACTGCCCTCTGGCTCTGTCTGGGCTGGCAGCAGGGCCTTGGCTACCCCCTTGCCCACCCTGCCTGCCCACTGACCAGGTCCTCCCAGGAGTGGGAAGGACAGGCCCTGGGTGGACGAACACAGGCCTGACTGGGGAGCGAGTCCTCCCTGGACAGGTGAGGAGCGAGAGGAGTCAGCCCAGCCCCTCAGGACTCCGGAGCAGGACTACTTCCCTGTAGGGTCCCAAGGACCCTGAGAGAGCACCTGGGCCCACCCTGAGGCTGACCCCCACCCCCCAGGCAGCTCTTCTTCAATGGGACAGAACCCCTGAGGGCCCAGGACCCATTCCCCTGGCCTGCGTTGGCCGCCACCCTGAGGACTGTGGCCAATGAAGGCGCAGAGGTCTTCTACACAGGGAGGCTGGGCCGGACGCTGCTGGAGGACATTGCCAAGGAAGGTGAGCCACGCCGAGGTCCCGAAGCCGCCTGCCCTCCCAGGTTCTGGACACAGGCTTAGGGGACAGGCTCCTGCCCAGGCCCTGAGAAAGTGGCAGCTGGTCCCAGGGCTTAGAGAGGCTGTGCGCCCTGTCCCGCCCACTGCTGGCCGCAGAGACCCTGCCGTCATGGCCCTGAAGAAGCAGAGGCCCTGTGGGTTAAGGCCAAGTGGGGGGAGTTATTGGTGGCCTTGGTGGGCTCCTGGGCCTGGAACTGGCCACCCTCAGTCTCCCAGAGGCCAGCTCGCTTCTCCCACCTCCCCTCCTTCCCCCGACCTGATGCCTCTGGCCCTTGTCCACCTGTCCCCCATCTGGCTCTAAGGCTAGCCCTGACGCCCCTGGCCACAGGCCCACCCTCACCCCTCCGGGTCTAGAAGGCTAGGGAACCAGGGAAGCACCACTGTGTGACCGGGGACCAGTGGCCGTCACTCTCCACCTGTTTCCCCATCTGTACGCAGAGCCTTCCTTGTCTCCCTCAGGCAGCCAGCTGACCATGCAGGACCTGGCATCATTCCAGCCTCAGGTGGTGGACGCCCTGGAGATGCCTCTGGGCAACTATACCCTGTACTCACCGCCCCCGCCTGCAGGGGGTGCAATTCTCAGTCTCATCCTTAATGTGCTCCAAGGTGAGGCCCCCAGACTTCCGGCCAGAGTCCTGTCCTGCTGGGAACCTGAATTCCCAGCCCAGCCGCGGCCTTTTCCAGCTCAGCCCCTCATCAGACGCCAAAGACAGGGCTCTGGAAAATGAGTCGAGACGATGTGTTCTAGAGTTGACCTCAGGGCTCTGCCGAAGGGTCTGAGGTCATCCACCCACTGAGCCCTCCCCACCAGGTGACTAGTCCCAGAGTGCGGGTGTCCTGTGAGGCCTGGCCTGGCCTGTGGAAGGCCGCAGGGGGGTGAGGGGGGTCCTGGCAGTGTTCAGGGCTGGGCGGCTCGAGGCTGCCTATGTTTGTTCCCTGACGCCACTGGAACAAATTGCCACAAACCCACGGCTTGACACAACATGTACTTATTCTCCCTTGGCTCTGGAGGCCTGAAGTTCATAATCAGGGGTCAATCAGCCACCTCTCCTCTGGGGGCTCTGGAGGCTCTGGGGGAAAATCTGCCCTTGGCTCCTTCTAGCTCCTGGGACCTGCCACGTTCCCAGGCCCGTGGCTGCGTCACTGTCTGCGCCTCCGCGGTCACATGGCCTCTCCGCGTGTCTGGTTTATGAGGTTACATGTGATTACACTTAGAGCCCACCCGACACCCCAGGATAGTCTGCTCCTCTCAGGATCCTTAATTTAATCACACATTTTAGCCCTGGCCGGTTTGGCTCAGCGGTTAGAGCGTCGACCTGCGGTCCGGAGAGACCCGGGTTCGGTTCCCGCTAAGGGCATGTGCCTCGGTTGCAGTTTGTCCCCGGCCCTGGTTGGTCGTGCGGGTGGCAGCCACTCGATGTGTTCCTTTCACATCGATGTTTCTCTCTCTCTCTCTCTTCCTCTCTCTCCCTCCCACTCTATCTGTGCAAAAAATGGAAAAAAATGTCCTCGGGTAAGGATAAATAAAAAAAAAAAAAATATTTCTGACTCTCTCTCCCTCTTCCTTTCTCTCACTCTCTAAAAAAAAATAAAGAAGAAAAAAATTAAAAAAAAATAAATAAATAAAATAAAAAAAATAATCACACATTTTGCCATATAAGGTAATATTCACTCTTTTGCCATGTATGGTCGTATTCACAGGTTCTGGGGATTAAGACATGGACAGATCTCTTTTGGGGGGAGTCCAACATTCAACCCATTACACAGGGTGACCCCCACCTGCGCCCACTCCCTCCGCAGGGTTCAACTTCTCTGCAGAGTCGGTGGCCAGGCCTGAGGGGAGTGTGAACTTGTACCATCACCTCGTGGAAACACTCAAGTTTGCCGGAGGGCTGAGGTGGCGGCTGTGGGACCCTGAAAGCCACCCGGAGGTGCAGGTGAAGTGTCCTGGGCAGGCCCAGGGCTCCGCATGAAGGCAGGGATGGGCCAGCGGGCACTCCATCTGTGGACCTCGAGAGTTTGGCCAAGTGCGGTTGTATACGTGGTTGGTTCTAGAACAGGACAGCCCAGGGCAGGGAGGGTGCAGCAGGTCTGGGCATTGGAAGAGGCCCTGGAGCGGCAGGCACGGGGGGTCGTGGTAGCATCACATTTCAGGGGACCTGGAGGGTGGTCAGGAGGTAGCCTGGGCTCGAGGGAGGACAGACTGGAGAGCATCCCCGAAGGGGCCCTCCACTCTGTGGGCCCCACTGGGCCCCTCACTTACCCAGTCAACTGACCGCCACTCCAGAACTCCTCCCAGGACCTGCTGGGAGAGGCTCTGGCCCAGCGCATCCGCCAGCAGATCGACGCCCGGGGTGACCATCAGCTCAGCCACTACAGCCTAGCCGGGGCCTGGAGCCACAGCATGGGCACGGCCCACGTGTCCGTGCTGGGGGAGGATGGCAGTGCCGTGGCTGCCACCAGCACCATCAACACTCCGTGCGTATGCCCTGGAGGCGGGCGGGCAGGCCCCACTCCTTTGCCCCTAGACCTGAGTCACCCCACCCCCCACCCCATCCTCTGCCTGGTCTCCCAGCCCCCAGCCCCTCCTCGGTTTTCTCCATGGGGCAGCACCTTGCTTTTCCCATTTGCTCTTCCTCTCTGTCAAAAGGGGTTCTGCACCTCTGATATCTCTGGCTGCAAAGGCTGCTGATGGGTGGCCCTGAGCCAGGACCCACCTGGGGTGGGGGCACATGAGGCACCTACGGGGGCGGTGCCAGAGAGAAAATAGCAGCTCTGGCATGCTGGAGGGTGGCCACTACGATGAGGGGCTCCTGCAAGGCTGGGCGGTGGGCCTCCAGCCCGGTGGGAGCAGGCCTGCAGCCTGAGCCCAGGCTCCGCCTCCCGTCAGCAGCTTTGGAGCGATGGTGTACTCGCCGCGCACAGGCATCCTCCTGAACAACCAACTCCTAGACCTGTGCTGGAGGCGCCAGCCTGGCTCCCACGAGACCCCTCCACCTGGTGAGTGCGGGCCCCCCTGGGGCGGAAGGAAGGCGGGCAGGGTCGGTGCTGCATGGTGGCCCCTGGAGCAGCCACCCCAACTCTCCCAGCCATGGTTTGCGAAGTGGTGAATGGAGACAGAGGTGGGGGGCAGTCCTGCCGGGCCTGGCTCGGAAGCCAGGCTGCAGGTGACACCCATCTGGCCTCCAGTTCCAGGAGAGCGGCCCCCATCGTCCATGGTCCCCTCCATCTTGGTCAACACAGTCCAGGGGTCAAAGCTGGTGATCGGTGGGGCTGGTGGGGAGCTCATCATCTCTGCCGTGGCCCAGGTGAATCTGGAGGCTCCTGACTGGAATGTCCCCTCTCTGGGGGTAGGGACAGGTTGGCAGGGGTGGCTGGTGCCCCCTCCCTCCCTGCATCATCCTGCTCTCTCCAGGTCATCATGAACAAACTGTGGCTTGGCTTTGACCTGGGCGCAGCCATCGCAGCCCCCATCCTGCACGTGAACGACAAGGGTCAGGTGGAGTACGAGTCCGGTTTCAGCCAGGTGAGGCCGCAGTCGGCGCTGCCTCTGGGCAGGACGCCTCAGTGTAGGCTGCTCAAGGGCCCCTGCTCTCACCACTGGGTGTCCTGCGCCAGGCTCACTCCGGCTCTGGGCAGCATCGGAGCTGGGGGTACGGGGGGAGGCTCAAGGCCAGTCTCCTGGCCTCCCAGGCGGAGAGCAGGGTGTTCTCCATGCTTCTCCCGGGCTGAGCGCCTCAGCAACGTGGTCCCCGCTCTGTGCATTTCTCTCCAGAAGCTAGTTTTCCTGGCTCGGCCTCTCAGACTCTCCCTGATGATAATCGGTTTCCTCCTGAGAGTTGCAGCTTTTAAGGGCAAGTTTATTTGTGAGAGTTTATTATTCCCACAAGAGTCTGCAGAGGCCTTGAGGCACCGGGAGCTGCACTGGTGATGGTTCTTAGGAACATTTCTCGGATCCCCTACACAAGCCCACCTGGGAGCTGACTCCCACCCCGCTCCACTCCTGCCTCAGCAGAGGCTCAGCTTTCTCGAAGCTTCTCGGGGCTGGCAGATGCCTTTTGCTAGGACCTAATTCAAAACACTGGCGGCTTTTCAAGGCTCCAAGCTTGATGCCTGGAGTAAGTTCAGCCAGCTGGGGTTTAAGATCCTCAAAGCTATCTTTCCTGTAAAGAGCTCTCATGACCCGCAGAACTCTCTAACAACCAGAGTGGGAGGCCTCGAGCCCAAGGGGCTGTGTCACCCTGAGAACCATGGTCTGTGGGCCTGGAGACTAAGGATCTCAGCCCATCAGGCTCAGACTTGGAGTCTGAGGCCTTCCCTCCCTGTTCAGGGTTCTGCCCATGGAAGTATATTGAGCACTCCCTCGGGGCCCTTCTCTTTGACCTTGACTGAAGGTCTTACTCTGTGAGCGAAGTTCTCCAAGGACCTGGGACTCTGAGGATTCAGAGATGACAGATGGAATCCAGCAACCCAAGACCTTCCGCTCCCTCAGAGAGTTAAGAGTGTTGGCCTTTCTGGTCTAAGGTCTCCCAGGGAGAAATTCATAGACTCTGGGTAGAGACCATGCGTCTCCAAGGACCTTCATACAAAGTCCCAGGGACTGAGGTCAAGAGAGTCTTTGTTTCTCAGGGCCTTGGAGTTTGGCCAGTAGACCACAAAGAACAAAGTCCCTTCTGTGGCCTTGGCCATGAGGATGGTGGCCTTCCAATCTAAGGACACCGGGAAATTACTGTCAGGGAGAGGGACTGTGCAGTGCTCCAGAGCCATCGCCCTGCCCATGGCTCAGGGTCACATGGCCTCACCAGGTGACCTCAGGTCAGAGGCCCTGGTCCTAGGGACTGTGGAACACCAGGGTCTTCGTACCTAGAGGTCTGGAACCTAGGGTCCTGGTCAGCTAAGGCCCTTGGATGCTTAGGGCAAAATGATAAATGGAAATGTGGGGCTCGAGTGGCACAGGTCCCTACACTCAGGATTTGTGCCCCTTTATAGACGGACAAATGTGTGGGGACCATAACCTTGAGGCAAGGTACTCAGTGTCTTAGAAACACGTGGCTCCCAGGTGCCCTCAAATTCCACAGACTCAGCATCTCAGACCTGAGCATTTAGAACCCGGTGCTCCAAGCAACCTCACCCTCGGAGATCACTGGTCCCTTTAGCCTGGGGGTCAAAGTCCTTGGACCTGTGGGCAAACTGCAGAGCAAAGGGTGTTGGGGCCTTGTGTTTGAGGCCCCCTGGGGCCCTCCTCTTCAGGACAGAAATGATCTTACTTCTCGAGTTCTTTCTGAGCTGGGTGATGTCTCCCCCACCATGTTTCTCCTTTAGGGTCTTTGAGTGGGAAGTGTAGACTCCATGCCCTGCAGATGAGGCTTCACTCAGTGCCCTCCCGCCCCACCCAGTTCTGCCTTCTCAGTCAGGCTCCTGCCTGGCCTTGTCCCCTGTGGAGACAGGTCCAAGCTGCCCTCCCCTGTGAGCTGGCCTTTCTCTTCCCCAGGAGGTGCAGAAGGGGCTTGAGCACCGGGGCCAGAAGCAGACCAACAGGCTCTTTTTCCTGAACGTGGTCCAGGCTGTGTCCCAGGATGGAGCCTGTGTGTACGCTGTAGCAGACCGGAGGAAGGGCGGGGAGGCCGCAGGCTACTGAGGAGGCTGCTCCCCAGGGCTGGGATCTGGCCTGACCCCAGTGTGTGGCCCAGGCTGGTCATGGCTGTGACTGTGAGACCGAGCGTTCCACCAGGATCTGGACTCCTTGGCTGGGGAGTCAGCCTGAGGTTGCAAGAGGCAGGGACAGCATGGCAGATGGGGCTGCGCCCTCCCTCTGAGCTTCTGGTGGCCCTGCCCTGGCCTCTCTCTTTTTTTTTTTACCCTCACCCTAGGACATTTCTCCATATTTTGTTCAGATAGAGTGGGAAGGAGAGAAACATCCACGTGAAAGGGACACATCGAATGGTTGCCACCCGCATAACCCAACCAGGGCCGGGGACAAACTGCAACCGAGGTACGTGCCCTTAGCGGGAACCGAACCTGGGTCTCTCTGGTTCACAGGCCAACGCTCTAACTGCTGAGCCAAACCGGCCAGGGCCCCTCTAGCCTTCTCCAGGCCTCTCACCCAGGACAGTGGCCCGTCCTTCCTCTCTGACCCCGCTCCCATCAGTATATCTTGCAGGTTGAGATGAAAGGGGAGGCCAACCTCAGCCTCATTCGGGGTTGAGGTGAGGGAGGGGACCTCAGGAAGCATATGCACTGTTCCTACAGTCCTTTGCAATGCAGCTTCGTAGAACTGGGGAGATCGAAGCCCAGAGTAGTTGGGCCCATCCAGGTCACCCCTGCACAGAAACAGTACCCCCACCACTTGCTGGAGCTCTGAAATGTGGCTGCCTAGGGCCACTTACTGTGAGAAGGCAAGGGTGTGGCTTGGGGGCCCTTGGCCAAGGCGTGAATATGGATCTTGTCTTCCAAGTCAGGACAGGGTTGGATGCAGTGAGACCTGAGACTCCAGGCCAGCTCCTGCCCCAGCAGCTCATGTTCTCACCCTTGGCACTGCTGACATTTTGGGTGACACATTCTTCGTTGTGGGGGCTGTCCCCACAGGTTAGGATGTTGAGCAGCATGCCTGGCTTCTCCCCGCTAGGTGTAGCAGCACCCCCCACAGCGACCAGTCACCAACTCGCCCCTGGTTGAGAACCGCTCCTCTGGACTGCTGAGCCCGTCACCGTGAATGGCTTTGCCAGCTGCTGGGTGTGCCAGCCTTGCTGGGGGGCCTCTCTGAACTGACCTGGGGGTCCTGCCCCACACTGCTTCCTGGCAGCATCTAGGTGTCCCCTTTCATGCCTCCTGCTGGCAGGGCCCAGGGACAGCTCCCCCACTGAGTCATCACCTCCCACTCTGCCCTGGCGCTGGGCCAAGCAGGATGAGGGCAGGTGTTGGTTCCCTGTGCCTATTGAAACAAAATACCACACACTGCGTGCCTCAAAGCAACAGAAATCTATCTCCTCCCAGGTGGGTGGTCTGAAATCAGTACCACGTGGCAGAAATCAAGGTGTGGGCAGCCCCCCCGCGGCTCTGGGGAGAATCCTTCCTGCTGGTGTTCCTGGGCCTGTGGCCACATCACTCCAGTCCCTCCCTCAGGTGCATGGCCTCCTCTGCCGTGTGTGTGAAAACCCCTTCTCCTTGGTGGGTCCGGGAGGAGAAGGCACCCCAGAAAGTGTGGAAGGTTGCTTGAGGACATATAGGGCCCACCCAGACAAATCAGGATAATCTCCACATCTCAACATCCTTAACACAATCACAAAGACACTTTGCCATATAAAGTAACAGTCACCATTTCCAGGGATCAGGACGTGGACATATTTGTGGACTGTTCTTTAGTTGACCGCACACAGGTAGAGGGGTCTGAATCCCTGATCTGGGCTTGACTAGGAGGGAGGAGGGGGTGTTCTGACAGACTCCAGGAGAAAGGTCTGGGGACCACAGGCACACCCTGAGATGCACTCAGCCAGCCTCAAGGCCACCAGCCCCAAGCAGGGTCGGGCTTTGGGAGGGCGTGGGGAGAGCAAGCCGACTTTCTGAAAGGGAAGGTCTGGTTCAGGGGGCAGAGGTGCAGAAGAGTTAGGCTTAGACAGAAGTGGAGCAGAGGGGCTTCAGGCCTGGGGGGGGTTCGGGGCTGGCCCCTAACATCAGGACCCTCCTCAGGGTGGCCTCACTTTGGACAGCTCCCTGGTCATTGTCCCCATGACTCTAGCTCATCCACTGAACTTCAGTCAGCAGGGATGGCAGAGCTTCTATCCTGGGTCCCAGCCCCTTTCTGTTTAATAAAAATTCCAGCCCTGGCCAGTGTGGTTGTGGTTGGAGTGTCAGCCTATGGACTGCAGGGTCGCAGGTTCAATTCCCTGTCAAGTACCTGGGTTGCAGGTTTGATCCCTGGCCCCAGTCAGAGTCGTGCAGGAGGCAACCAATTGATGTGTCTCTCTCACATCGATGTTTCTCTCTCTATCCCTCCCTCCCTTCCACTCTATCTAAAAATCAATGGAAAAAATATCCTTGGGGAAGGATTAATAAATAAATCAATAAACTGTTATTGTACTTAGTCTTAAAATCGGGATTAAAATTGCATTTAGAGGGATCACTGAATATTACTCTTTGTGAAACCGAATGTCTCCTGTGCCACTTCTAAACGTTATGTATAGCCTGTCCAGTGTGCCTCAGTTGGTTGAGTGTTGTCCCATGAACTGAGAGGTTGCTGGTTTAATTCCCAGTCAGAGCACATGCCCAGGTTGTGGGCTTGATCCTCAGTAAGGGTGTGCAGGAGACAGCTGATTGGTGATTCTCTCTCTCATCAATGTTTCTCTCTCTCGTTCCCTTCCTCTCTCTCTAAAAGCAATTAAAACACATTTTTTAAAAATTTCCTGTGCAATTGCTCCAGCATTGTTTATGATAAAGACTTTCGTTTTCCTCATTGAAGTACATTGGTTCCTTTGTAAGAAAAAAATCAACTAAACAAATCAGATCTTAACACAAATTATAAACATACAATAGTTAAAGCAACATATGAGTACAGCTGAGAAATAAATCAACAACAACAACAACACAAGTCCACAAAGAGAGGCGAATTAGGATGGGGATTTTGTCTCTGCTAAAGGAATGCATTGAGTCAGTAGGAAAAGGCGGGTTGTTAAGGGTGTGGAAACAAAGGGGCAGCCATCTGGGAAAAGAATAAACTGAGATCCTTACCTTTTTTTTTTCACCACACCACCCTCCCTGTTTCCACCCTCACCCCGTCTCCGAGCCTTCCCTTTTTATTTGCACCAAAATAAATTCCAGTTGGAATAACGATTTAAAAGTTAAAAACGAGCCCTGGTAGGTTTGGCTCAGCGGTTAGAGCGTCGGCCCTCAGACCCGAGAGCCCCAGGTTCAGTTCCCACTAAGGGCACTTACCTCGGTTGCAGTTTGTCCCCGGCCCTGGTTGGGGTCCTGTGGGTGGCAATCAGTCGATGTGTCCCTCTCACATTGATGTTTCTCTCTCTCTCTTCCTCCCTCTCTCCCTCCCCAGCCACTCCATCTGCGGATAAATGCAAAAATGTCCTCTGCTGAGGATTAAAAAAATAAAAAATAAAAATGAACCCACAGCCCTGGCCGGTTTGGCTCAGTGGTGAGCATCGGTCCTTGGACCAAAGAGTTTCGGGTTTGATTCCCAGTCAAGGGCATGTACCTGGGTTCCAGTTTCATTCAGGAGGCAGCCAAACTATGTGTCTCTCTCACATCAATGTTTCTCTCTCTCCTCCTCCTCCTTGCCTTGCACTCTATCTAGAAATTAATGGGAAAGTGTCCTCAGGTGAGGATTAACAACAAAAAGTAAAAGTAAAAATGAACCCACAGCCATGGCTGGTTTGGCTCAGTGGTTAGAGCGTCGGCTTGCGGTCCAGAGACACCCGGGTTCGGTTCCCACTAGGGGCACATACCTCAGTTGCAGTTTGTCCCCGGCCCTGGTTGGGTCGTGCGGGTGGCAACCACTCGATGTGTCCCTTTCACATTGATGTTTCTCTCTCTCTCTCTGTCCTTCCCACTCTATCTGAACAAAAAAATGAAAAAATGTCCTCTAGTGAGGATAAAAAAAAAATGAACCCACATAACTATTGTAAGAAAATACAAGAATATTTTATTCATATATATATATATACTTGGTACATGCCTGTGCCCCTAGCGGGAACCGAACCGGGACTCTCTGGTCTGCAGGCTGACACTCCAACCGCTGAGCCAAACCGGCCAGGGCTATTTTATTCATATTTTTAGAGTGGGGAATGCCATTTTAGGCATGACAGAAAATCAAGACACCATAAAAAAAAAATGCATAAATTTGAACACATAAAAATTAAAATTTTTTAGCCCTGGCCAGTTTGGCTCAGTGGTTGGAGCGTCAGCCTGCGGACCAGAGAGTCCCAGGTTCGGTTCCCACTAGGGGCATGTACCAAAAAAAAAAAAAAAATTAAAATTTTTTTGTCCCACTGGTGTGGCTCAGTGGTTGGGTGTCAACCCCTGTACCAAGAGGTTGCCAGTTTGATTCCTGGTCAGGGCACATGCCCAGGTTGTGGGCCCAATCCCCAGTGGGGGGCGTGTGGGAGGTGGCCAGTCGATGTTCTCTCCCTCTCCTTCTCCCTTCCTCTCTAAAATCAATAAAGGAAAAAACAATTTTTTTTAATTAAAAATTTTGATGTGGAAAATATCTTAAAGACCAAAAAAAGGCGGGGGGGGGGGATGTTTTCAATATGTAATATGATATGAGGTTGGCTTTTAAAATATTTATCTTTGTAAAATTAAAAAAATGTTTTTTTAATTTTTATTGATTGATTTGAGAGAGCAAGAGCGACATCAGTTTGTTGTTTCGTTTATAGACGCATTCATTGGTTGCCTCTTGTATGTGCCCTGGCTAGGGATCGAACCCACAACCTTGGCATATCTGGAGGACACTAACTGAAAGGGTTAGTAATGATTTAAAAGGTAAAAGTGAAAGTTTTCAAAGGCAGAAATTGTGGAAATTGTGTTGCTTGCATGACGTTTGCTCAGCCTTTTGTTGAGTACGGATAAGATTTATCTGGATTGTCCATAAGGCAATGGATAACCCAGCAGATGCTGGATGAGATACCAGACCAGCCTTACCGCAAGGT